TACACAGATGGAAGGCCATCTTTTATCTATAAAATTTTCCTTGTGTGCCACGCTGATTGTAGCCAACAGACACAGCCAATACATTCTGGTCAGTGGSATCTGACATAACTTTTCAGGACAGTTTATCAGTGTGGGCTTTGTGCCACACTAATGTGATTTCACAAAGACTTGCCAAGTCAGCCAGAACCCAGCATGGACACTGAGGTGAGTTCTTTATAAAAGGCTTTTACCTGATCAGGGTTTCTAGGTCCTAATTCTTGGCAGAGCTGGGGGTGTGATGACGCGGGTGAAAGCAAAAAATAATGRTGATCCTGGCACTACTGGTTAAATTGGGAAGATGAAGACCATGCCATGCCCAAAGGACAAAATTTTGTCCTCCCTCCATGTATTAGTGTCAGCTCCCTGCTGTCCAGATTTTTATATAGTTTATCTGCACAATGACCATATTCCAGAAAGAAGCACTGCCCAGGTTAAATCTGCATCCAAATAGTAAATCTAGTCAAGTCCATATAAATCAGTACAGACTAGGAAGAGCAAACCCATGTCTACTTAAAAATACGTTCTGCAAATGCTATGTAAGATAAACAGGAAGAAAATATACTGAGAACCCAAATTACACTGAGCTGCAGTAAGGAACTTTCACCTGCTTAAAATTAAGCAGGTAAAACTGAGTTCCTGTGGCGTGTGTGCCAAAAGCCTTTCTTGCTGAGGATGAATCAGTTTAGTTTCAGATGGAGATGGCAGTAACCCATTCAAATTAATAAACCAGTACCCAGATGTGTTATCCAGTCTGTGAAAGTCAGGACAGGATCACATGGTTCACAATCTGAAGCTCTGGCAAGGCAAATTTAGTTCTCCTTCTACTGATCCATATGATTTATGCAAGACAATAATTACAGATGGTGGGAAATTACTTCTGTTCCATCTCTAAGATCAGTTGCTTTGAAAAAAAGAAAATTATGCGCAATAAACACCTCGAACCCAACATAGAAATAGTTCTATAGAAACTTTTCGCATACTGTACTACAGCAAGGCATCGTGGGCTGAACCTTACACAATTTGTACTCTCGCGTCTCGAAGAAGGCGCTGGTTTTTGGCTTCAGGCTTCACATCCCTGTGCTGTCCGTGCCCTCTGCTGGTCAAGAAGCAGCCRGTGGGCGCTTCTCGAATGCTAAAASAAGGAAGCTCATAAAACACAKGTTTTGAAACTTCCAGAGAAGCACATTTCTTTGTTAACTCTAAGCAACATATTTTACAAGATATTGAGAGAAAGCAATTTTGGAGCACATGATACTTCACCACCTAAAGAAATTTACCGTTTCTGAATTCTTACACATGATGCTTCGGGAATCACTCTTTGGAAGGAGCAGCAAGGTGACCCTTCCTTCCTCTGGTGATACCACACCTCCAGTGCCGTGTCCCGTTCTGGAGCACTGAGTTCCAGGACGCGGAGAGGCTGCAGTGAGTGCAAAGAAAGGCAGTGATGCTGGGGAATGGCTGGAGCACGAGTCTAATGTGGAAAGCTTTTCTCTGTCCCTGGAGAAAAGAAAGGAGGGTCAGGTGGGACCTTATTGCTCTCTAGAACTCCCTGACAGGAGGGTCCGGCCAGGTGGGGGGCTGCTTCCAGCTAACAGTGACTGGAAAAAAAGTACATAGCCTCAAGCTGCGCCAGGGAAGGTTTAAACTGGATATTAGCAGGAGTTTCTTCACGAAGAGTGATTAAACACCGCAGTGTGCTGCCCGGGTGATAGATCCACCATCCCTGGAAGTGTTTAAGGAAAGCCTGGACGTGGCACTCAACTAAACTCACGGTGTAGTTGACATGGTGATGTTCGGTCATAGATTGGACTCATGATCTCAGATGATGAGATCAGGATGATCTCAGAGCTCTTTTCCAACCTAATCGATTCTTTAATTCTGTCTCTTTTCCCCGTTGAACAGCTGTGCACACGGGTGGAGGCAGCACCACCGGGCGGGCGGGTGTTGTGAGGCTGAAGGGGTCTGTGTGGGATACGGCGATCCCCTCTCCTCAGGGAAACCCGGGCGTGTTCCGCCTCGGTGGCGGAGGCGCGGGGCCGGGAGCGGACCGGGAGCGGAGCGGAGCGGGACCGGAGTGGTGAGGGAGCGGAGAAGGAACGGGGCCGGGATCGGGGAGAGAGCGGACCGGGATCGGGGAGGGAGCGGACCGGGGAAGAGCGCGGAAGAGTGGGGAAGAACAGGGAAGAGCGGGGAACAACGGGGAGGGAGCGGGGAGAGAGCGGACCGGGAGCGGGGAAGGAGCGGGGCCGGGAGAGGGGAAGGAGCGGATCAGGAGCGGGGAAGAAGCGGATCAGGAGCGGGGAAGGAGCGGACCGGGAGCGGGGAAGGAGCGGGGCGGGAGCGGATCGGGAGCGGGGAAGGAGCGGACCGGGATCGGGGAGGGAGCAGACCGGGATCGAGGAGGGAGCAGACCGGGAGCGGGGAAGGAGCAGACCGGGAGCGGGGAAGGAGCGGATCGGGAGCGGGGAAGGAGCAGACCGGGAGCGGGGAGGGAGCACACCGGGAGCGGGGAAGGAGCACACCGGGAGCGGGGAGGGAGCAGACCGGGAGCGGGGCGGGCCCAGCGCGGCGCTGCCTCCTCCGCACCCTCAGGGGGCGCTGCCCGGAGCCCGTGAGGCCCCGCGGGCGGCGGTTCCGGCGGGTCCCGGACGCGGCCTCCGCACGTGTGCCGGGAGCGCGGGGTCTCTGCTGCCGCCGCTGCTGCCGCTGCCGCCGCGATGTCGGTGCCGGCGACTGCCAGCAACCTGCCCATGCGGCTGCTCCGCAGGAAGATCCACAAGCGCAACCTGAAGCTGCGGCAGCGCAACCTGAAGCTGCGGGCGGCCCAAGGGGCAGGTACGGGCGGGCGGCGCCGCGGAGCCTTTCCTCGGCTGAGCGCTGGCGGATCTGTCGCTGATTTTGTGTTCTCTCCACTCTCTGTTTATCTCTCCGCCGTGCAGTGCCCTCCCCGGAGGAGGCGGCATCCCAGGGACTCCCGGAGGAGGAGGCGGTGGAGGATGTAGCGGCCGCAGAGGTGGAAGCGGCGGCCGAGGAGGACGCTGAACCTGCGGACGCAGCCGGACCCCGCAGCGGGGAGAAGGAGAARAAGAAAAAGAAGAAGAAAAAGAGGAAAGCGGTGGCTAATGGAGTAGATGGTGCGTGTTCATAGCAAAGACAGCGTGTCTCCCAGAGCAGAATTGGTCTTGGGGACCCCAAAAGTGCCTTCTTTGGGTTCCCGCCGCGTCGGGGAAAGTTTGAAGTGCCATGTGCCGCTCAGGTGTGCCTTTTGGAGTCCTCGAGGCCTAAAGCTTTTCCTGTTTCTTTCCTGCTGGAATATTTGAATTCTTAGTTCATACTAGCAGCCAGTTTAATTGTTGCATAGGATTCTGCTTGGCAACGTTGTTTGGGTGTTTTGCTTATTTATTATTCAAATACATGCCCTGTGTTTCAGGCTAGAGCTCTGGCAGATGGGTGCTCTCTGTGCTTGGCTTTTAGTTTTTTAGTTTTGCCAGCCTTTGGCAACATCTATATATAATGAGACTGAAGTATACTGGAAAACTAGAAGAAAGAAAAAACCCACCTCACAAATACTGCTAATTTGCGTATGCTTTTATACATACATATAAACATGACAAATAGAAGCTTCCAAAATGTGTTTGATTTTTGTGACACTCATAATGGTTGTGCCAGTGAAGAGGTGCTTTCATCTCTGAGGATTCAGGTACTTAAAATGCAACATTTCACACATCCTGAGCACAAATGCTATCGGAAGTTTGATGTCTGCATTGCACATGGGAAAGAATTTTCTGCCTTATTTAAGGACCGTCTGTCTTGTTCCCATACAAAATATCATATACATTAAGCTACATTGCTTCACTATCCAAATRGTGGGATATGTGGGAGCAACTTGAGGATTTTTTGCTCTGTGCCTGAGAAAATTSCATAAAAACCTTGCTTCTCCTTCTCCAGTCCCCTTCCACACATGGAAAATCATGATCTTTGTACATGGCTTAGAGACGAAAGAAAATGCAGTCTGTGGAGCAACTTTTTGTGAYTAACATTACCTTTGTATTTCTGTTTGACTTGTCTTCTGTAAAAAAACACTATAGATACAGAAGCCAAAAAAGTAAAAACTGAAGAAGATGAATCTGCAGAGGTAGAAGAAGATAAGCAGGGTTCTGGAGAGAAAGAAGTGGAAGAAGAGGAGGATGAAGTGCCCAGTTTACCACTAGGTCTAACAGGTACCTTGTGTTCTTGTTTTYGTCCATGTGCAAAAACCCAAGGTCTGAGACTTTTGAGCAAGTTGCAATTTGCAAATGAGCTTTGTGAGTCAGGTGTTTGAATGCAGGTGATGTGACACTGGCAGCTGTACAGCTGTCACCAAGTTACTGTTTTCAGAAATTTGCATTATATGCACACGTGTTCCTAAAATGACTGGTCTGTTTTTTAAACCTATACACACCTGTGCTTATCTGTAAAGGAAGAAGTCTATGAAGAGCAAACTGGAGGTGTCCAAATAGTAAATCTGGGAGAAGAAACAGTGCATTCGTCTTCATTCTAATGAGCTCTGTGTAGATTTCGTATGAATAGATGAATACAGAATATTTTGCCAATGGTTTTGGATTTTTTGGTAACATGCAATAAGAAAATGTCATTTGATTTTTTCATATAGATCAGTTTGAACTGTTTAATCTCAGAGGGCAGATGAAATTKAAGAAATAAGTTTTAAATATTTTTCATTTCCCTTCACACTTCAGGTGCTTTTGAAGACAATTCCTTTGCTTCCCTGGCTGGTTCTGTCAGTGAGAATACACTGAAAGGCATAAATGACATGGGGTTTACACACATGACCGAAATTCAACATAAAAGTATTAAGCCACTTCTGGAAGGCCGGTAAGAAACAGGTCTTTTTAATCACTCTAATGACTCWTTTTTTTTTGTAAATTTTGCTGACAGGCTACACATATGAATTATAGATTCAAATCATGGAATCATTAAGGGTGGAAAAGACCTCCAACATCAAGTCSAGCCTTTCACTGACTGATTGCTGTGACCTGCATCTACCACCAAGCTCTTAGTACCAACTCCACAGATCTTCTTAAAACTATGTTAGGTTTTTACATTGTGAGCATTGATCAGAGTGGGATTGTTCTTTTCTCTGCATGGTCAACTAAATACTTCTTTTTCTAACATTGCTACCTACAGGGATATTTTAGCAGCTGCAAAAACAGGCAGTGGAAAAACACTTGCATTTCTTATTCCTGCAGTAGAGCTCATCTACAAGCTGAAATTCATGCCTAGGAATGGTAAGGCTCCTCATTTCACAGTTGAATTTACTGTAGTGCAGCCCTTTAGGGGGTTGGATGAGCTGTAACTGACTCCTGTCTGATGTATCTTTTAGGAACGGGTGTTATTATTCTTTCCCCTACTCGAGAGCTGGCTATGCAAACCTACGGAGTGCTTAAAGAACTTATGAACCATCACGTTCACACCTATGGTCTGATAATGGGGGGCAGTAACAGATCAGCAGAAGCACAGAAGCTTGGAAATGGAATCAACATCATTGTAGCAACACCAGGAAGGCTGCTGGATCACATGCAGGTAGATGCAATAYTGGTATCTAATCTGGTTATTAAAACATAATAAAACTCCTTTCTYTGTCTCACTGAATTTGTTAATCTTCTAGAACACTCCAGGTTTCATGTACAAGAACTTGCAGTGTTTGGTAATTGATGAGGCAGATCGAATCTTGGAGGTTGGATTTGAAGAAGAAATGAAACAGATCATAAAACTTTTACCAAGTAAGAAAAAAAAATCTGTCTTTCCTGAAAATCACTTCACTAACATTATGTCTTCTTTCTGACTCAATTATTGTAMGAGAAGTCATTAATTTTTATAGTTCTGTAAATGAACTTCATAGTGGTTGTCTTACTCTTTTTTTTGCTMGCCACTACTATATATTACTTGTTCAACATCATTTATCTGAAGAACAGTTTTCAAATGCTCTTTAGGGATATAATTCTGCTCATATAAAATCCTTTTAGTTTAACATCTACATTTTCTGATTCATCGTCCTCTGTCTCATTTCCTGCAGTTCTGTATTTCCTAATACAGGTTTAAATATAAAGGCAAACGTCTTCTGAGTTACAGTTATAGTAAGAATTAAAAAGTTGATCTCTGTTTAAGTCATTGTTTTGCATCTAAATTGGATTGCAAATGGTTGTTAACATTTTTGCAGAGGAAGAACACTGTTTTGATAGCTGTTAGGATTTTTGGGACAGCTGAAATACATGTACAACCCATATTACAATTACACCTCTTTGTTTGTCAGTAGCAGTATAATTGAAATAAAATTTAATTGAAAAAAAATAGACTTGCACAGGGAAGTTTGCAGTTACAGATTTTATGGACTTGCTATTTGAATTCTTCTTTAAAAAATGAGGCTGACTTTCAAATATTTTTCCAGAGCGCAGACAGACWATGCTTTTCTCTGCTACACAAACCAGAAAGGTTGAAGATCTGGCAAAGATCTCYCTGAAGAAAGAGCCACTGTATGTTGGGGTTGATGATAACAAGGAGACAGCAACAGTAGATGGTCTTGAACAGGTAAGACACATATGTTAGGGAGGAACCCTGTGTTGTTTTTAATTGGGGTGCTTCAGATGTATTTCACTGTTTTAACTATTTGATGTGTTTTGTTTTTTTTTTCACAAAGTAGCCATTCCTTGTATTGGGAAATGGGAAATGTATCAGTAATTGTATTATTGAAACAGAAGTTTGCTCCTTACTACTTTTATTTAACGATGTTTAAAACTTTTACAGGGGTACGTAGTGTGTCCATCTGAAAAAAGATTCCTTYTGCTCTTCACTTTCCTCAAGAAGAACCGGAAGAAGAAACTGATGGTATTTTTTTCTTCATGTATGTCAGTGAAGTACCACTATGAATTACTCAACTATATTGATCTKCCTGTTTTGGCCATTCATGTAAGTATTGTAGTCATTGATTTATTTATAATTAATTGATAGTATCTGTAAACTGTTACTGAATTTACATTTGCCTTGCTTGTTTCAGTCTGATTTTTAATAAACAGACACTGCTCACAAAACTGATGATCTCAATTAGTTTGTAGAGGAAGAAGATGAAGATTATGTAATAACAATTCAGTAATCAAACTTCCTGATTTCTTCAACCAGGGTTGAGCACTGATATTAATTTATGCTCTGTATATAGCAACATTTTTGTTTTCTTTCAAGCAGTTGCCTTTCTAAAGCACTAAAACTCTGCATGTGGAGCAAAGTTCTTGTCAGAGAACTCMAAAGTGATCCCTAGCATGTTTGGTGCTTTTCCTGAGGTCTTGGGTGATATATGGTTTCACTACACCACTACTTACCTTTTTGATGACTATTGTAAATTTTTTGTCAAAACCACACAATGAGTAGTTTAGGACAAAGAATTAACTAAAAGTTAATGAAACAGTTACCACAAATGTCCTTTTTTATTTTGTTTTGGGGGGGAATTTTTTGCAATTTTTTGGTGGAACTCTTACAAGTATGGGTTTTACTTGGTTGCTTGCTTTTTTAACCTGTAATCTGTCTAACATATTGCTAGATTTGCAAATGTCCTGTTTCTGAACTTGCAACATGTATGTTGTCCTTATGAGAAAAGTATTTATATAGTTTTTCGTGTTTTGGGAGATGCCACTTGTAGCCCTATGCTGTTTATTTTTTGTTTCTCCACTGCAAAATAGTCCTGCTTGGTCTGTATAAGACCACGATTTRGAAAGATGTCTCAAATTATTTTTTCAGTTGATATTTTATCCCCAATGTGTTTGTTTCTTTTTTAGGGCAAGCAGAAACAGACCAAACGTACCACAACRTTTTTCCAGTTCTGTAATGCAGAGTCTGGAATACTGCTGTGCACTGATGTAGCTGCCAGAGGATTGGACATTCCTGAAGTTGACTGGATTGTCCAGTATGACCCTCCAGATGATCCAAAAGTAAGTTAAGGAAATAGACAAGTGTCTCAGTAAGAAATCAAATCCTGACTGCAGACTTAGTTGCAGAGAAAAGCTGAAACTGTTGCTTGACAGAAGTCAGGATTCAGCCATGGTCATACCCAGCTGCTGATTTCTTTCACTTCCCTTCACCAGCTCCTAGGAAATGCTGCACCTAACCAAGACATTTCTTATACTCCTAAGAATTACTTTGTAAAATATTGTTTGTGCTGTGAATTAAAATCTAATCAGCTAAACAACCAAACACTTCTCAAGAGGAGTGTGAGTTGACATATGTATCCCTGAGCTTTTCCAGTTGAAATTTGCTTTTTGTTTAAAGATAATACTCTTATTTGAAGAAGTGTCTGCTACTATAAACAAGTGAAATTCAAAAAACTCAGAAGTTTTGATAAATACATCAAAACCAATGTTTAATTTTCAGTTACAGCAGACTAAGATTTTTTTTTCCCCAGTAGAAGATAAAATACTGAAGGGCTATGTCTCAGTCTGATGGTGCTTTGCATTGTCAACACTTGGTTTCCCTCATCCATGTGTGAGTGCCAAGAAAAAGTCTTACAAAATAATAAAGGATGCATTAAATTATATTCATGTTAACTTTGGTATGCGTTTTTGTGAAGCACTTTATTAAGACTGCCTGACTTTGATGCTTGTTTTTCTTTCCAAAAGGAGTATATCCATCGTGTTGGTAGGACTGCCAGAGGAATAAATGGCAGAGGACACGCTCTGCTCATTTTGCGACCAGAAGAACTTGGCTTCCTTCGTTACCTAAAACAAGCCAGGGTAAACTTATTTCTATACTAATGACTTTTTACTGTGCATCAGGTTTTTAAAGGCAAAACCTGTTWGTTTGTTTTTTTCAAAGATCAGTTGTATTTTGTTTAATTCCAAAAAAAGCAAAGCCTTCTTCTAAAGATAATAATTTTAATAGAAATGCACAGTTTCTTGGTTGCTCTCCTTTTGGGCTTGTTTCGTGACTTTGTAACTTACATGGTTTAACTTCTAAAGTAAAAAATTGGTCAAAACAGTGTCATAATGACTCTGTTGGCCTCGCTTAAAGCAAATGGTAATACTGTCATATTGATGTAAAGGCACTTTACAGATACAGCTGTAGTATTTTAAAAAATCTGTTATCTAGCAGGTTGTTTTCTATTTGTTCTTGGTCTTAAACACAGTCACTATATTTATACAGCGTAAATAATTTTGATATTTAATTTCTTCTTTTGTTTTTAAGGTACCGCTAAGTGAATTTGAATTTTCTTGGTCAAAAATTTCAGACATCCAGTCTCAGGTATGACATGGCTTTATACTTCAACTGCTTTGAATGTCTGTATCATAATTTGCATGGAGAATGTTCCAGTCTGTAATGACTGCAGCTCAAATATATGTATTCTTGTTTAGGATTTGAATATATAGTCCATGTGTATTTTWAATTAACTGGTGTTAATGAAGCCCAGCATCAGCTAAACTTCTTTTGTGTTCCTGTGCTACAAAAATAACCAYAGAGCACAAAGTTGAGTGGAATAGCATAGATAATTCGGAAGATGTGAATTTCTGTTATTGATTACTTTTGTGAATCATTGTTTTGATAAGAGCTTTGTAAAGTTTCTTGGCAGCAACTTGAATTTAAAATAGCAAGTACAAGAAGCAGTGGAGACAGTCATTACAGAGAGAGGTTCCTAATTAAGCATAATCAGGAAGAAATTACATCTAATGTAGCTTATTTTTAGAATGCTGAATTAGTGCCTGTTAAACATCAAATGAGACACTGGGATCTAATGAGTATTGGGAACTTGGCCCACATAAAATAAAATCTGTCAGTCTACGCTGATGTACCTGCATTTTTGGCTTTGAATTAATACTGCTGATTTCACAGTGCCTTTGCACCATAATAGATGAGACTGTGTACAGAATTGCATGGAATCACACAGTTCAGATGTCAAGTTGGAAACTCTCACACACATGCTTTAATGGTGTGCCTGCAGTGTATTGTCTTTCTTGATTACCTTGGGACAACCCAGTTTAATATTTCTGTAAATTTTCATATTGCTGAGGCTTTGTTTGTACTGTAATTCAGCCTCAGGCATTTTTGTCACTTTACTTGGTTATAAAAACATTTTTATACCTGTATGTGCACTTTTATATCATTAGGATAGTTTCGCTGAAGTGCATAGTGAATGTCATTGCCACTCACACAGTAAACAGAGTTTGAATATAATTTATAGACTTTGAACAGCTGTAATTGTTTATGTTTCTTATGGGTTGTTTTTTTTCTCACCAGCTGGAAAAACTGATAGAGAAGAACTACTTCCTTCACAAGTCAGCGCAGGAGGCATACAAAGCTTACATCAGAGCTTATGACTCCCATTCTCTGAAGCAGATCTACGATGTCAATAACTTGGATCTTCCCAAAGTCAGCCTTTCRTTTGGCTTTAAAGTTCCTCCATTTGTTGACCTCAGTATCCTTTTACTGCAATGTCTGAAAGCTCGATTTCTGCATTATAAATGTTTACTGCAACTTGCTTAATTCCTATGGTAGCTCACATTCTGCTGGTTTGTTGGGTTGGGGTTTTGGCTGTTAATCATAGAAATGCATCATGCTCCAACAGTAGTTTATCAAGGAAAGTGTAACATTGCAAATATTATAACTGCAAAATTGACTACAAATGTCTCTTTTAGCACATRTCCATGATACACAGGCTTCAGCTGCTGTGGGGCAGAACTGGAATGCATCAATGTTCCAAAGTATTGTTCTGCTCAATGCAAAATTATTCTCATTGAAATATAAGCATGCAAGTTTCATAGTCATGGAATATTGACAGAGGGTCAAGAACATGAAAGAAAACTGTAGATTATTGTTAAACCTGACAGTGGATAGAATTTAAGCAATAGTACTTWGGACAATTTAATTGGACAGCTGGAGGAGTATTTAGAACCACAGGCACAAAGTTCTAGGTTTCTCTCTAATTAGGCACCTTGGCTTTTTATGCAATTCTATTATTTCTTCTCACGTTAATAACTCTTACAAACAAAATGCAGTATTTCAAATTATTCTTTTTTAAATTCTTTAACCAATAAAATTTCAGATGTGAACAGCAACCACGGCAGAAGACTACAGAAGAGAGGTGGAGGKGGGGGATTTGGTTATCAGAAATCAAAGAATGTCCACAAAGCRAAAATCTTCAAACACATCAGCAGGAAATCTGACAATCGGCAGTTTTCTCGTTAATTACAGTCACTAAAATGCCTTGTGGCCTTGGAGTAGCCTACCTTGATCAAAACCATCTCGAAGTTACTTGTAATTTAAACAGCTCCTTTCACTTTCATATTTAGATCTCTTTAAGGATTTTTTTTCTTGGAATGTCTTTCACTTTTCACTTCACTCTTTGGAACTGAGCTTGAAGGAGAACATGGCAGCAAATTTTGCCATACTTGTAAGGAAGAGGATAATTTTTATTATCTGAAGTCAATAATACTACAGAGATCTTTATTAAAGTAAGGAAGAATACTTTTAGGTTTTATAGAAGAATTTGCTTTCCATTTACCCTTTTTTCTATGCATACCTCTGAAAATTGTTAGAGTGGACAACATAAGGATGTTGTGAGATGAAAAGGTTTTGCTCACATGAATCATTGCAAGGAATTTTAGTGCTACAGAACTCTGTTTTGGCCATCAAATATGCTGAAGCATAAAGGAAGATTCCTTCAGAACTGAACCATGGATGAATAATTTAGGCTGTATGAGCTTGTGAATAATATTAAACATCATATCTATAACAAGTAAAGCGTCCAAAATAAAAAAATCTCTTACACTAATTCTGGAACATGACTAATACTGGTTTAATGTTACGATATAATGGTAATACTCTAGTGAAATACTCTTTCACGTTCAGTTTAAATCTGAATTTATTCATCTGGTGATGTCTAGTATTCTCTGCAAAGTTTTAAGAAAAGCAGATTACATGAATTGAAGCACTCAACCCAGGTAGTGTTTTTCAAGATGCATCATAATCCTGACAAAGTGAGAGGTTCTGCCATTGTATCTTGTAAATCACAAAAGTGAATTGCTTTTAAGTCTTAGTACATGAGATCAGTGATGGGCAAAGTCAAAGATGCTGACACAAGACTGAGGAGGGGGAGGGACTCCCTAAGTGAAATAGGGTATAAATATATTTTGAAGGGGGTGTATAAAAGACTGAAATGGAAGAGGGTGAGAGAGTGGAATACACATCTCAAACAGGAAAAAATGTGTAGACCTCAGTATAAGAATACACAAGTTGGGTAAAAGAGTATTTTGTGTGACATACATTATTTTTATCTCTGCCATTGTAGCAGTAACTGCCATTCTGAGATGATAGTGGTGGTGGAAAGTGTTTAAAAAGTGTTCATGCGTCAGTGAAAGACTAAAATGTCACAGAWTCCAGAAATGTGGGCCACATGTGAATTACAGTAAAACAGCTTTTAATTTACATTTGAAATGCAAAAGCATAAGTAGTTACTCCAATATAAATAAGACTGTTACTTCTTAGGTCTTCTGAATTAGCATGTCAGATTTAAAACTTGATACACAGATTGAAGTATTTAGAAAAAACCAAACATCAGTGAACTTTCTTTTCATCCTTGGAGAAAACAGATCATTTTGGTGGGGGAGAAATAATATCACCATTCTGTTGCTAGCACTTCCACCATTCTAGACTGAGCATTGCCTGTTTTTCCTTTTATGAAATGGCTGACTTTGGACCTTAATGAGTTTTTCAAAATTTTTCATTAACACTGGTCTGATCTTAAAAGCTTCTGGCACATCAAAATAATTTTGTTACTAGAAAAGCTTGCAATGAAACAGCAAAATCTCATTTGAAGTGATGGATGCCTATCTCATTGAGTTCTGGGTTTTCTTATAAATTTATACATAATAGACATCAAAGTAATTCTCATGTCTATTAATAACACATATTAGGAGTTCTCTCTGAGATCTACATCATCATACAGTTAAGGGTTCTGTTTATACCTGCCAGCTGTGCAGTTATTGTAAGGGAATTAACTTCCATTAAAGCAAAAGAAACGCTGAGGGACTCATTAGATGAACTGCAAAATTAATTACTTGGAAAGAGATGTAAGCAAAGCTGCARTAAACCACTGTGAAGATCAGTGTGGTTATGTGGGCACAAGCAGTGGCTGCAGTAGTGTGGAGTATTCCTTTGGAACAGGCAAAGAGCTGACCTRTGGAGTCAGTGACCACCTCCTTGACCATGTGCTGCATGGCCAGAACTTCTTGGGCTTAAGAGTGCATCAAAATTCCTGATTTACCTGTCAGTCATTTTGGTAAAAGTAGGCTGACTGCTTTCTCAGCAGTCTGAGTATCTCTAGCTCCACCTAATTTCCTTTGGGAAAGCAGAGGCACTGTCTCTTCTAAAGTCTGATACATAGGAAACTGACAGCCTGCACAACTCACCCCTGTGATATTTGGGTTGCTTTTTCTTAATTTTCTAATACTAAGAAATCTTTGAAACTAACTTCTTTAGGAGATGGWAAGAATGGATGGTATTGCTCTAGAGTAATAGTAGCTTACCCTGAAGAAAAATAAAGTTAGCACTGTTACTCAAACAGATGTATAATGGCTGCACAGCCTGTAGTAGCTACATAGCTCTAATATCRTGATTAAATGAGAAAGTCACGAGCTGAGAATTAAGTGGGAATTAAAAGCTTCCTAGCTTGTGCAGATGTAATTACCTTTTGCTTTGTTTATGAAACCATAAATGACAAATAGTTTCTGATGAAATATCTGTGTCTTGGGCAGCATCTATCCCACCATGGTAYTGCAAGAAGTGCAAAAGATCGTGAAACTGATTGGAAATCTAACGTTTCCTTTGCAACTTGCCCTGTTATCAATCTTGTGAGCAGTTAATAGACCTCAGCCATCAGGCTCTCAAGGCTTGTCTCGTAACAGTGACCGATAGGTTGGGGACTAATATTGTGTGCCTTGAGAAATTGCTTTCTTCCTCTGAAAACCTTGACAAAGAAATTGGACTCTTTAAACCACTTAAGGGGGTGATCAAAACTGTTCTGCTTGAACTGGGAGATGTTTTTGACAGTTCTTGGAACAGGCCCATAAAGGAGAATTCCACTGCCRAGTTACTGCTCATAATCATGAAAAATCTTGTCATGATCCGAGTTTCCTGTGCCATAAAGCTGCCGAGTTATAGACAAGCACAGCGCTGGTCAGAAASTGTTGCCATCAAATTTTTCAGGGTTAATGTCACAGGTAGAGGGCACCTTTATTGACAGCGTAGAGCAAAAATAGTTGAGAACTGGGTAAGATATTATCTACTGAGGTCTGCTGTAAATAAGAAGTATGTTTGTGTTTTGGCAGTAATTAGCCTTTTTGTCTCTGATGTATGATTTGATGACTCAATTTAAGTAAGCTACCAAAGCCTTAGATCCTCTGATGATTTGCTTTCATGCCAGTGAACTGAGGCTCAGGGAAAGCAATTCTACCAGGAAAGATGAAAAGGGCTATGTGTTTTTTAAAAATTAATATTTTAGGAGAGGTCCCACTGTGAAGGAAGATGGGGTGCTGACAGAACAGGTTTGTGACTTTTGTTTTAGTTCTATTACTGCCATGTTTAGTAGATTCTCATCCAGTTACTTCCACTGCCCAAAACTTAGAAGGGATTTTACAGAGCACTGAAAATAACTAGAAAAGAGCCACTTATTAGGCCTTGAAAGKTGGTTGGATTGATTGTTGGATTCAGGTTTTTCCCAAACTAAAGTAATGCTGAAAGAATTCAGCGCCTAGAATCAAGGGGCTACATTTGCAGAATAAAGTCTATTACTGTTCCTGACTTGTGCTCTATCAGCTTGATTTTCTCAGGATTTTAGCTGACTTGAAAATTCATGCAACACTTTCTGATGCTTTTGTTTGTCCAATGCTTTTAGATTTATAGAAGATGTTAAGCCCTGACAATAAGAACTCAGCCTCTTGAACTGGAACGCTCTTAGCTGCTAAAAAATCTGCTGGCTTGCATCAAAGTCATAAATATCATGATGTTGCTTTTGTCAAATCTCTTTATTGCACAGCCATGTGGGGAAGAGATCACTGGGGTTTTTTTTGCTCCTCTTAGCTACCACAATAAACTTTTGAWATGGAGTTATGAGGAGAGGTAGTGGGGAAATGCTGTTAAGGGAAGACAAATGGAAAATCAGGGTGCTGTCTAGAAACACATTCATTTTGCTATATTTGTGTCAYCCAGCTTAAGAACTGCATTCACTTTAAAAAAAAAACCAAGAAAAAAAAAAAACCAAAACCTTTAGCATACTCTTCAACAGCAGTCTATCTTCCCAAACACTTTTGTAAGCTGCAACACTAAAAAGCATAACCATCTACTATTTTTTTCCCTGTTGGTCAGAATTTTAAAAAAAAAAAAAAAGGAAAATTGTAGGCTCTGCAAAATCTTGTATAACAGTTACAAAACTCTCCTCTTTTCTGGCTGTCAGCTGAAGATGTTGAGCTTTCTGGGCTCCTCTATGAGTGGTTACAATCACCTATGAATGTTTTTTATCATTAATAAAATTAATACTAGCTGGCATTTATGTAACATCTAGAATCTCTATCACATTTCCAATCATAAAAGTATGGCATCGGCTGTCAAAAGACTTTGGAAGGTTTGGATTTTGTCTTGAGCTTAAATTTTCTAGATATTTCTCAAATTAATTGCAGGATTTATATAATGGACTTTTCTAAAAAAAATGCTTTACAAAGGAGGCTGGTTTTCTATTTAAGAGGATGGAATAAAACTGCATCTGCTAGAAGCTTTCATAACACTTGACTCTAAAACAAAAAATGGAAAATAAGTTCAGTACAATCCCTTTATAATGGTCTAAAAATAATCTGCTTCTAACGGATGAAACCAAACTCCTGGAAAATGTAGCATTAAATTTTATCTATTTGCTATAAAAATACAGCATCACTTTACAAAATGGGTTTAAATTCTGTTATCTGGATGAATCATCACCCTCCAGAGCTGTTCCTCAGCTGCATGCTGTCCTTGGAAGTGCTTGGGCTCTGTAGCAAAGCTGGAAATACTGGAGAGGGTCCAGCAGAGGCCAGAAAGATGATGAGGGGTATGGAGCGTCTCTCTTATGAGAAGAGACTGCGGGAGCTCGGCCTGTTCAGTCTGCAGAAGACTGAGAGTGGATCTCATTAATGCACATAAATATCTGAAAGGCGGGTGGCAAGAGGATGGCGCCAGACTTTTTTTCAGTGGTGCCCAGAGACAGGATGAGRAGCAATGGCCATAAACACGAAGTTTCACCTCGAGGAAGAACTTCTTTACTTTGAGGTCGGCCGAACACCGAACAGCAGTCCAGGCAGGGCGAGGAGTCTCCCTGGTATAAACCCACCTGGAAGCGTTCCTGTGCCCCAGGTGGTCCTGCCTGGGCAGGGCGGTGGATGGGATGATCTCCAGCAGTCTCTTCCAGCCCGGCAGCTGCCCGATTGTTGAACAGCGGCAGTGTCGCCCCTCACGGGCCCGCGGGCAGCAGCAGCAGCAGCAGCAGAGGCGGTCCCTCCCGCCGCCCCAACGGCCCGGCCGCGCCACCGCCCCCGAGGCGGGGCAGCAGGAGCGGTGCCGCCCGCTCGCCCTCGCTGCCCGTGCCGGAGCCTCGCCACGGTCCTGCCGCGCATCCTTCCCTTCTCCATTCCCCCGGGATGGGCGTGCGGAGCGGCGGGCGGCAGCGGGAGCAGCGGGCAGCGCCGCGGCGGCGGCGGCACATGGCGGGCGGCCGCTGAGGGGAGGCGCGTCCCTTCCCTCAGGTGTGGGGCTCCCGCTCGCCGGCAGCGGGGCTGGGGACGGTGCCGGCGGCCTGGGAAGGGGCAGCAGTGAGGGGCCGAGCCCCGGTTCAGAGCATGGCAGAGACTTTGAGCCCCTGCTCCCCACGGGGCCAGTGCCAGCCCGGCATGGGCGCCAACACTTCGTCCGCCAACATGGACACCAACGCCTCCTCCTCGGTGGTGGGTGGCAGCGCCTGGAGGGGCCGGGAGYCTTTCTCCATCTTCACCGTCCTCATCCTGACCCTGCTCGCCCTCCTGACCGTGGCCACCTTCCTCTGGAACTTGCTTGTGCTGGCTACCATCCTTCGGGTGAAGGCCTTCCACCGGGTGCCCCACAACCTGGTGGCCTCCACGGCGGTGTCGGACGTGCTGGTGGCGGCGCTGGTGATGCCGCTGAGCCTGGTGAAGGAGCTGTCGGCCGGGCGGCGGTGGCGGCTGGGCCGGGAGCTGTGCCTCGTGTGGGTGTGCTTCGACGTGCTGTGCTGCACGGCCAGCATCTGGAACGTGACGGCCATCGCCCTGGACCGCTACTGGTCCATCACCCGGCACCTGCAGTACACGCTGCTCGCCCGCCGCCGCATCTCCAATGTCATGATCGCTCTCACCTGGCTGCTGTCCGCCGCCATCTCCCTCGCCCCGCTGCTGGGCTGGGGGGAGACATACAGCCCCGAGCAGGAGCGCTGCCAGGTCAGCCAGGACCCGTCCTACACCATCGTCTCCACGGGCGGGGCATTCTACCTGCCCCTCTGCGTGGTGCTCTTCGTCTACTGGAAGATCTACAAAGCGTCCAAGTTCCACATGGGAGTCCGCAGGAGGAACGCCGTGGTGCCCCTGCCCGAGGCTGCCCAGGTAAGGGGCCCGAGGCTCCCCCAGGCCCTGCTTCTCTGTGTGGGGGCTCGGAACAGCGAGAAAGCTGCGAGGTGCCCTGGGGCTCCCGTGTGAGTTTAACTTTGTCWCAGGCTGGATGTGAGCAGTAGTTAACCAGTCAAAAAAAGTGCCACCCTTGGAGAAGAGCTTTATTCTCCTTTTTTCCTTGTGTGTTATAAGCGTTTGGGACAGGTGCATTCACTGCTAGTCGGGAGAGACACTTGGAAAGTTATCTCTTTGCTCTGAATTTGACGACAGTTACTTTCTTTCTTCAAAACCGTGTTCTCTTTCTTATCCCAAGGATTGTCTGTAATCCTGCAGTGCCAGCTGTTTGGGAGGTCTCGTTCATTTTGGGGATGCATCTTACTGACAGGAAAGCTGTGTCACTTCAGAAGGGTTAGGGTTGGCTCCTTGTGTCCCATAAGTGAGGCTCTGCATGATGCTGCTCTCACCCATTCTATGCCTCCACTGTGCTTGGCAGTGTAAACTTTTCCTGCTTTCTGTCATATACTCTTACTCTCACTTCTACCAGTGAAAAAGTTTCTGTGGTTGYGTGTTGTACTTCCTAAGCCTTGTCTCTTCCCAGTAGCCAAAGATGAGCTGTGTGGATGTTAAAGAGAACATTTCTGTTCAATTGGAGCTAGTTCTGCACAGCTTCATTCTTCTGCTAAATCCTGTCATTGATTGGGACTGATGGAAGCATATTATTATGGTCACAGAGTTTGTAGGTTGTGTCCCCAAATTCTTTCAAGAGATAACAGCAYTGACAGTTATATGTGATTAGACTCACAGATTTGGATGGTAATGTCTTGAAGATACTTTTAATATATATTGCTTCATGAAGGTGTCTTCTATGCAAAAGCAAAAAAAAATGTTATAAAAGTTGAGAATGTTTCCTCTAGTGGCATTTTTCCCTGCATTCTTCAGCCCCGAGTTTGCACTAAATTTCTTTCAAATTGTTGTAAGTTAGATGAATGTATTGCTTGGAGTTAATGTATAATTTTTCAAGCACAAAAGCCAGCTTATTTGTGGTGGATTTGCATGCTCTTTTGCATGCATTCATACCCATACAGGACTAGATGTTTGGGAATCTAAAATTCTGGGAAGTTCAATGAGTTCATGCRTTGCTACTAAAGCCTGGGGAGAGACACATCATATGACAGTTTTAGCAAGAAAAAGTCTGGCTGCAAATTGTCATTGTTCAGTCTGCATGATCCCCTGCGTGGGCCCGGCATGGCTGGCAGGTAAGTGCTTTTTGCTGATGCAGTGTCTGGGGGCTGGTTTAGGCTGCACTGCCAAAAGGCCTCTGTCAGAAGGAGCTGAACATCCATTTTTCAGGGCTTATTGCAATACCAGCAAATGCTCAATGCAGTCGTTCTTCATTAAATTAACTCGTGGTTCAAGTGGGATGGCATTCAGGATGCATTTCTTGTGTTTTCTTTCTAAATTAAGATACTAAGGTTTACTCACCAAGTGTTATCCTGATCCTTTTTATGTTTGTGGTACTAGGATCCATSACATCCACAGGAAGAGTGGCAGTTCCCCAGTGAATTCTGGAGGGGAATCTTCACACACATCACTACCGTTCTTTGGCATGCAGACATGAAAGTAACATTGCCAGGCTTTGCTTCTCCACATGCRGGCGTGATCAGGCTGTCAGCATCAGCTCTGTCCTCTCTGATGGATCAAATTCCCATCTGCTTCTTGTGGTTTGCCCATCAACTCATTCTAATTTTCTCTTTTTTCCTTAATGTCTCTCTTCTCTCTACTTTCTTCCATCTCTTCCTTCTCAGATATTGCTCACCCTGGCAACGTTTTCCTTTTGTCACTGACTCTGGAAATGAATTCCCCTCTRCATCTTTGTCAGTTCTTACTCCAGGTGCCCTGCACCATTGATCTGAGGGATATTAGAGGGGTTTTTTTTTGGCAGATGATGCCAAAGGCTGGCAGTGCTTCCCAGTCTGGAGGTGAGCAATAACAGCACGATCCCTGCTGGGAGAGACGCCTGTGTTGCACTCAGGAATGAACTGTCAGGTAGTCTAGAYTGGAGCTGCAGTTTGTGGCCAGGGTACAACCATCTGGTTAATTCTGGCAAGTCTAAGGAGGAAAAGGTCTGAGTTCATGGCACTCAGATGCCAGTAGGGATGCCTTGGCAAAACCAGTGCACCAAGTGGAGCAATTTGGGGGGTACCTTGATGTTTTTGCAGTGTGCTTTTTAGCCTTTGGTCAGGCACCAAAGTGCTCTGCAGATTGACACTATATATATATATATATATATATATTGGTGCGTGTGTGTATTTCTTATCACAAAAGCTATTTCTTCCAAACTGGGAGTTATCATGAATATCTTATGTTCTTACACTCTTACAGAGCTGCTCAATAGAATAGTTACAAAATAACTACTTGGAATCATTCTTTGGTTAAAAAAAAATTTACTTGTGTTTTTGAAAAACACTTTTCAAAACCTTTGAAAAAATTCAGGTGAGGGATATGGACATCTGAAACATCTGAGAGGCTTCGGGTTTTAATGAGAGCTTGTTTTTTGCATGTTTCCTTTGAGATACATTAATTGCCAGATTGGGATTCCTAAATTAAGCTGGTTCTTTTACAATTGTCTTTTTGCTAATTATGAAACTCCCTAAAAAGTGAATTCTGCAGGCAGCACTGACGTGGGTGACCCTCATTAAAAACCTAGTGACATACCATCACTGACAGAGAGCTATGCTCTGTCACACCTTGTTGACAGCAGGCAATAATTCTCTCTCTGAACATCCAATTGAAATAAATGAGACTGCTTGAAAAACAGCAGATACTACTGGATAGTGCCCTTTTAAATCAATGAAATCCCTTGTAGCATAGGGATAGCCCAKAAAAACCAAGGATGATCCAATGTTCTGGATTACATATATGCAGCAATTGCAAAATCAGGTGTAAATTTTCATATGAGGAGTTTAAAATCGAGTTCTGCCAATTATTGGATTTTTGGTTTTTGAGGGGGCTTTTTTGGTTTGGTTTTTTTTTT